TAGTGAGGTACTTTGATTGTCACTAGGTGGAGATGTAACACCCAAGAATATTTGGTTAGCAGAGTCTATGTTAGATGTCTTATCTGGGAATAGGTAAGTCAATCAGTGAATTTGACTTCTAGTCTGTTTGTCTCTGGATGTATGTTCAGTGTATATCACTTCCACAGATATCTCATTGGGATAATGTGCATATGTCATTAGATTTTGATTGCAATAATATACATAATAATTATCCAATTTCCATAATAATTCAGTGAGATATAACCGGTCAAATTGCCAGTGACAAGCATATGACATTGGACTGTCATTGCTATACCTTTCTGTTGCATTATGCTTTTTTCACAGGGATTGGTTAGACAACAGCCTTCATTCATTCCAGTGGCTGTTTACACTTATCTTTCTTTTTACAGGGCATGGTTAGACAAAGCAGCCTTCATTCATTCCAGTAGCTGTTTACACTTACCTTTCTTTTCACAGGGCATGGTTAGACAAGCAGCCTTCATTCATTCCAGTAGCTGTTTACACTTACCTTTCTTTTTACAGGGCATGGTTAGACAAAGCAGCCTTTATTCATTCCAGTAGCTGTTTACACTTACCTTTCTTTTCACAGGGCATGGTTAGACAAAGCAGCCTTTATTCATTCCAGTGGCTGTTTACACTTACCTTTCTTTTCACAGGGCATGGTTAGACAAAGCAGCCTTTATTCATTCCAGTGGCTGTTTAAACTTACCTTTCTTTTCACAGGGCATGGTTAGACAAGCAGCCTTCATTCATTCATTCATTCCAGTGGCTGTTTACACTTACCTTTCTTTTCACAGGGCATGGTTAGACAAGCAGCCTTCATTCATTCATTCATTCATTCATTCATTCATTCATTCATTCATTCATTCATTCATTCCAGTAGCTGTTTACACTTACCTTTCTTTTCACAGGGCATGGTTAGACAAGCAGCCTTCATTCATTCATTCCAGTAGCTGTTTACACTTACCTTTCTTTTCACAGGGCATGGTTAGACAAGCAGCCTTCATTCATTCCAGTGGCTGTTTACACTTACCTTTCTTTTCACAGGGCATGGTTAGACAAGCAGCCTTCATTCATTCATTCATTCCAGTAGCTGTTTACACTTACCTTTCTTTTCACAGGGCATGGTTAGACAAGCAGCCTTCATTCATTCATTCCAGTAGCTGTTTACACTTACCTTTCTTTTCACAGGGCATGGTTAGACAAGCAGCCTTCATTCATTCCAGTGGCTGTTTACACATACCTTTCTTTTCACAGGGCATGGTTAGACAAGCAGCCTTCATTCATTCCAGTGGCTGTTTACACATACCTTTCTTTTCACAGGGCATGGTTAGACAAACAGCCTTCATTCATTCCAGTAGCTGTTTACACTTACCTTTCTTTTCACAGAGCATGGTTAGACAAGCAACCGTCATTTATTCCAATTGCTGTTTACACTTACCTTCGTCTGATCGAAGATCATAGCAGTCAACTTTTGTCCAATCTCAGGCAAAGAGAAGTAGATTTTTGTGTATCTTTGATGCGAGAAAAGGTTAGTTTGTCCTCTAATGCTGATACACTACATGATATATGTCATGGTGATGGTTTTCACCAATATGTCTTTAATTGTTGAAACAAGTCAAAGTGATTTTCAGGCAACAAGAATGTCTCAACAAGATTCACTGAGTTTCTATCACATCATTGTCTCTTTCCCTCTAACCAGTTCCCTCTTTTCATAACACCATACTCCTGGTTATAGTATCTATTTCCTTCAGAAGATTTGGACAAAAACAGCCACATTTTTTTAGTAAAAACTGAAAATGGACTTAAATTTGGTGGTCTGTTGGCTCCAAAATTGAGTTGTTACCAGAAATATTGTAGAATATAAGAAAAAGGTGTAGAATAATTAGGGCGAGAAAGTCTGGAGGTGAAAAGGTTAAATAAACATTGTTATTATCATTATATGTTTCAGTTCATGGATTGTTCCACCATCGGTCGTGACTTAGTTCGGTTATTGCAAAGTGTTGCTAGGATACCAGAGGTACAGAAACTCTGGAAAGATATTCTTCACAATCCACAAATATTAAGTCCACAGTTTACAGGTAAAGCAGAAGCTTAGTTATTGACATTATAATAGTGTATTGGTCATTTTAGTCAATCATAGTAAACACAAATAACAAGTTTAATGAAATGTGTGAAGCTAACAGATTATACCAAATACATTTCATATATCAAATGCTCTTGTTTCATTTTTGCTAGGTTTGGTGCAGTTACTCAACCAGAGAACATCAAGAAAATTTCTTGTATGTCGCCTTACTCCTGACATGGAGAATAAAATGGTCTTTCTCACATCCAAGGTGAGTTTTTTGATATGTCAGTTTAGTGTTTCTCACATCCAAGGTGAGTTTTCTGATATGTCAGTTTAGTGTTTCTCACATCCAAGGTGAGTTTTCTGATATGTCAGTTTAGTCTTTCTCACATCCAAGATGAGTTTCTGATATGCTTGTTTAGTCTTTCTCACATCCAAGGTGAGTTTTCTGATATGTCAGTTTAGTGTTTCTCACATCCAAGGTGAGTTTTCTGATATGTCAGTTTAGTGTTTCTCACATCCAAGGTGAGTTTTCTGATATGTCAGTTTAGTGTTTCTCACATCAAATGTGAGTTTTCCGATATGGCAGTTTAGTCTTTCTCACATCCAAGATGAGTTTCTGATATGCTTGTTTAGTCTTTCTCACATCCAAGGTGAGTTTTCTGATATGTCAGTTTAGTGTTTCTCACATCCAAGGTGGGTTTGTCTAACCATGCCCTGTGAAAAGAAAGGTAAAAATAATCCATTGTTTCAAGTCTTAGCACTACCATGTAGTGTATCTACCTTGTATCCTGAGACATTTATCTGAATCATGGTTTCCATTTCTGATTCTCTCTGTCTTCTTTGTACAGGTAAAGTTTGGTCAGCAAAAACGTTACCAGGAATGGTTTCAGAGATTGGTGAGTACATTGGTAATATGCAATACACAGACAACAAATTGGAAATCGTGTATTTGATGTTGTTAATGTTTGTCACTGATTTTTTGTTTCAAATTAATACAACCACCATAATTACCATGCATGACTTTTAAGTTAGGGTTTTTTGCAAAATTTACAAGTACAGTTCAATTTCATTCTTTGATTGTGTATGTATGCATTGCTTTGAATGATGTAAAACTTTCAAAAACATTATTTATGCTTATCATTGTTGATGAAAAGAGATGTATATGTGTTACTGTTGACTCGGCATAAACATGCGTCTTGTAGTTACAATTGAGTAAATTTGTTATCCATTAAAGCTGCTTAAAACTTGTATATATTAAGTAGTTTAGAATCTTTGCCAAATTTGTTATCAAAGCATTTTTAAACCATATAATCTTATAATCACCATAAAATGTCAACCTAAATGAATGAATAGAAGATACAATTGGTGTTCTTTACCTTGCGTGCTATGAAGGGTTATTATACATATCCCAGTATTTATGTAATTTATGTTTTTAGATTATCACCAGTGTGACGAACAAAAATCCACCAGTGTAGTTGTAACATTGTATATTCTTACCGGTATGTGATATATAATAGCTAGAGTCTGATGAACAGCCTAAATCAATACTGATGATAATAATGGTCTTCCTTTTATATCACAGAAAAACTTGATTACTAACTTTATTGTGAGTATAAATGTATTTTACTTTGTTTCTTACATATTCCTATTTCCTAACAGTATCTGTCTACACCAGAAAGTCAGTCTTTACGATGTGACTTAATACGGTTTATCTGTGGTGTCATTCACCCGTCGAATGAAGTACTCTGTTCGGATATCATACCACGATGGGCTGTGATTGGCTGGCTGCTCACAACCTGTACAGTAAGTTTCATATGTTCTCACAATATCACAGATAGTGTTTGTTTCAAATAACTTCACTAAGCATTTCATCTTATTCATGTATACTTTCAAATGTTGCAAACAAATAAGTAAACAAAAACAAAAATAACGACAGACGTGTTTATAACAATTATGACTTTGAAATAATTTCACAAGGGCTTATAAATATTTTTTTGATAATTAATAATTTATTTCTCAGTAACAGAGAAAATTAACAGAAGTATATAAATAAATTGGGCAAATAAAACTGATTGCTAATTACAAATAAATAACTACATAAATAGTAGTATTTTAAAATGTATGGCTGGGAAACAGCAGTTAGCTAAAGAAAAGCTAGTCGAGGCTATGTCTCCTTATTACTTAGTATACTTATTAGGGTGTGTGTATAAAAGTTAGGATTTTAAATAAATAAACTAATCAATCAATCAAACAGTTAATCAACCAACTTACTACCTATGTCTGTCACTATTCCAGTTTTTGTTTACTCATTTTTTTGTTAAATTTGAAAGTATAAAAATGTTATCTTTATGACGTGACTACTCTATAGTGGTATGGCATCTCTTTCAAATTATGTCACTAATAATTGCATTGAAATAATTTCTCACAGACTTTGTCAACAAATAACAGAAATCAAGTAACACATTTAGAAAATCACTGCAAAGTAACACATTTAGAAAATCACTGCAAAGTAACACATTTAGAAAATCACTGCAAAGTAACACATTAGAAAATCACTGCAAAGTAACACATTTAGAAAATCACTGCAAAGTAACACATTTAGAAAATCACTGCAAAGTAACACATTTAGAAAATCACTGCAAAGTAACACATTTAGAAAATCACTGCAAAGTAACACATTTAGAAAATCACTGCAAAGTAGCACATTTAGAAAATCACTGCAAAGTAGCACATTTAGAAAATCACTGCAAAGTAACACATTTAGAAAATCGCTGCAAAGTAACACATTTAGAAAATCACTGCAAAGTAACACAAATCACTGCAAAGTAACACATTTAGAAAATCACTGCAAAGTAACATATTTAGAAAATCACTACAAAGTAACACATTTCGAAAATCACTGCAAAGTAACACATTAGAAAATCACTGCAAAGTAACACATTAGAAAATCACTGCAAAGTAACACATTTAGAAAATCACTGCAAAGTAACACATTAGAAAATCACTGCAAAGTAACACATTAGAAAATCACTGCAAAGTACACATTT